GATCCTTCTCGCCCTGGCGTCAATAATAGCAACGACTCATTTTAGTTTCCCTACGAACAGGATCGGGCCCAAATCGCTGAGTGTCATGTTAGAGTTTGATTTTTTTTAAAAATCACGTATCTGGTTACGATACAATGAAAATAAAAGGAAGGGAGAAAATTACATACAAATATAACATCATAAACAAATCAGGTCAGGAAGGCTAGATGTCTGCAAAATAAATCACACAAGTCTTTCCCAAGACACAGGCAGATGAACTTTGCATCAGCTTCCCTCGCTAATGACAGTGCAGACAATGAAATATACAACGCTACTGCATACTGGTCAGTCCTATCGCAAGTCTCCTCTCTCTCCCCACCCCCACTCCAGCCTCTCTTTCTGACTCCTTATGAACTAACTTCTCTGTCTACACTTCAGGAGTCCCTGGGAGGAGCGGATAGATCCTCCATCATGGACCGGGACATTGTTAGCAGTTAAGTTTATGTTTGTGGCGCCTGAGCTCAAACAGTCATTCAGTGGCTTGCTCTGTTATCAAGAAAACAACAATCAGAAACAATCAGTAAACAGGATCTCTTTCCAGCACCCTTTATGAACTACTCACAGCTCAGCTGAAAAACACAAACCACACAGAAGTGAGACTTAATATTGTAAAATATGTTAAGGATTTTAAACATGGAGAAATTGCTGCAGCATGTGACTTTCATTGTTAAAACAATCTTGGTATTGCTTCCCCACGAAAGCTATTTTGTACTGTTCCTGGCTTTATTCGACTTAAACTGATCAGGGGGAAATCTTGCAAAAGGGTGTTAATGAGCAGCCCCTCCACACACAGATAGCGCTTAAAGGTCACTCTGTTTGTTTTTTTCAATTAAGTGACCCAAACTGAAATTTACAAATATAGACATAAAATCAAGTACTTACTGTTGAGCTATTTGACTTGTCTTAAAATTGAAATTCAGACGCCAGATCGTCTGCGTTTCATCCAAACGTTGGTTTGGGGTGTTCAGCGATAGATTTACCTAGAAAAAAAATGAAATGAGAACAGTTTTGAAAATGACCGTGGGGCAGACAAAATTCAGAGTGAACTAAAACAATTCTTTAATAAGATCAAAACTACATGTTCATGTGAACAAAACACTTTGAAATTGAACACTGATAGTGCAGGTTGTTCGTTATCAAGAGACAAGAGCAGGGAAGAGCCATAGCTGCTGGTTTTGTTAATTACCATCCGGTTCTTAAAGTGCATGGAAAAACTAGTGAATGAAATAGAACAAATGAATGCATCCAAACAATGATTGTCTCTCTCTCTCTCTCTCTCATAAATCGTGGTGCCCTAGTTCACCTGAGTATTCTCAGTGAAGACACTAGCAGTGAACTACTCACATACATTTGTATGGACAGAATTTGTCCCGCAGTATATGTCTCTCAAGCTCCTGAGGAGGAGGGATACAAAGAAAAATACAAGAATGCAGGAATCTTCAGACAGCACGAGACTTGTTTGAAATTATCTTTAGCTTCATTTAAAAAAAATCAGCACTTCTTAATATAACTAATTCATCCTTTAACACCCCTCCTGCCCCAAGGTCTGAGCACTAGGAACACAGATCTGCCTGGTAGCGTGTAAAACTGAGTCTACTTGAAGGATTATTCTGATCCTGGCAGAAGAGTTGGGATGAAACACATAAAGAGAAAGATTTGTGTCGGGAAAAGAGCTCTGTACTTTTTTAGAAATGCTGAGGAGAATAAATCATATTATCCAGAAAGAAGAACTCAGAGCAATGAGATGGGAAAGGCTCCGGAATCATAATAGCAATCTAAAGGCATACGATTAGAAGAGATTTTTAGACACACTCTCTCGGGATATATATAAATTGGAGTCCTCTTCTTGAGGCAAAACTGTAAAACTTAAAATCAAGAACTAAGCTGAAGAGCTCAGAAAATGTGCTGAACTATGAACATAAACACGAATCTGGCTTTTTTTTTTTTTTTTTTTTACAAAAAATACAACGAACACAAGTAGAATGACACCGATCAGTCTATTTCACTGCAGTCCAATAAGCTCTGTATGAAACATTTGCAAACTGCAGAGGTGACATACTTTCATACTATGGATTCAACACACACACAACACACACACAGATGCAGACGTATACATTGGTATCTCTTTAGCAATTAGGATAAAAGATCCAGATAACTGTAATGAGGGATTCAAAAGCTCAACGTACTAGCTCCTAATTGATTTTTTTTTAAATCCCCAAATTGGCAAATTTCATTTCAGCTCCACAAGACTCCATTTAAAGTAGTTCACAAAAGGTATAAAAGAAATCCGGAATTGTTTTTCATAAGGAAAAATAATTACACATTTAAACTTCACATCAAAGGGTCAAATTGCCACAAATTCCCAGAAGCTGTGCAGTGGTGAACAGGGTATTCTATATTCCAGAGCAAACTGGAATGGACTATTGTACCCATAGGTGGGAGACACATGGCTACTTAGAAATGTCAAATTCAGACATGAATCGTGTATAAATAACAGTTAAAAGAGAAAATCAAAACAAAGCCTTGTAATCCGGAACAATAAGAGACTTGCCATTTTTTCTTGTCTATAAACTCCTAGGCCAGTACGTTCTAATTCTCTGCAATATTATGACTAACCCTTATCACCGTGGCCCAATTTTTATGTAAGTGGGAGATTTCCTTGTTCAAGCAGGGGTGAACTGGAGCATTTGCCACGAATTAAACATATCACTCAACAAGCTAGTCCAGTGCAATGGTATTCCCCCAGCATTTGCAACGAGAAGTTATTTTGTTTCCTGTGTCCACATTAAGAGTGTGCAGCTCGGTTTGGCAGAAAGAGTGAAAGAAAAGCCAAATGTAAGGGCCCAGTCTTGTCCTTAACCGCAGCTTATGCTCGGCAAGCGACGCTCTCCCTGGAACTGAGTACTAAATTCCCTCTTTTCAACATTGAACCAAATGGCATAATGACATCCTCACCTCTCCCTTCCCCCACCCCCCGCAAGAATTTTACCAACCCTACGATCCTGTATGACAATACAAGTGTTACTCCTCACACGGTTTAAGGTAGATTTCATATTTATTTAAATATTTATCAAGTATTCAAAAATGTATTACACTTGAGCATACAAAATGAATCCAGTTTCTATCCTTATATTAGACTTTTAACTCCCTCCCCCCCCCCCCACTGTCGAAATGGTTTGTCATAGCTTACCTAGCTCGGGGTGGGAGGGTGGGGATGATGGGCGGTGGAGGAGGGAGGCTAAGAGAGAATAAGATTATGTTAAGAAAACATGACGCTTTGGAGAAACTGTCATGCAACCCAACTTGTCTTTGTCAGACTCAAAATCTCTGTGTATCCCAGTTGTTAAGGGTTTTTTTTTTTTTAAGTGAGCCTTTGTCCTGTAATGGCTGTGAGCACGAGGGAATAATTGAAAAGGAGCAAAAAACCCTTACCCTTTCCTGTGGTTTTCTTCCCCTCCTCCCCCCCAAGAAATCGCCCACGTTTCTAGCTGTCACCACGACCTTCCACCCTTCCCCCAAATTAAAAAAATGGAAGAAAAGGGAGGGGGGAGCGGGGAAAGGAAGTCGAAAGAAAATAAGAGAAACACCAATCGTGAGAGTTCACAGCAACATCCCCTCAAATCTATTCCTCCTGCAGCATTTTTCAATCGTTCTGACAGCAGACACTGATAAATAATAGTCATACTTGACTTACTAAGCAAAATATGTCCCTTTTATCAGGAGCTTATACTTCAAATACAGGTCACTTCAGCAATCTTAACAACGAGGCTTTGGTATACAGCACTTTCTTTCTTTCTTTTTTAAATAATACAGCTCAGAAAAGCTGAGCTCTATTGGCTATGTCAGTTCTTTAGGTGTCTCAACATTGTCTGGTTATGCCTAGTAATATCACTTTTAAAGGGTAGGAGAGGAGGGGGAAGGGAAAGTTTGTAACGTTATCAATTGAACGCTAAGGCATCAAACTAGCCCTGATAGTTGTCGAAATTGAAATTTACAAGCTGATCGTTAATACTTGCAATAAAATATCACACTCCCTATTTTCAATAACAACCGACTTTGCATGCAATATTTTATTTCAGGTATTTAGCTGCGAACTTGTAAATATATAAAAGAGGGAACTTTTAGCAGTTTTATTTTTCTATATTCCAAACGCTTATTTAGTGAAATAGTCCTGAAGATATAATAATTCTACATATGGCGCTTTTATTTCACATAATATTTAAGAAAAAAGACAAAATCACATAGAATTAGACATATAATTCAAAGACCACGGTACAACCTTTTTCTTCTTTTTTTTTCTTTTTTCTTTTACTTCAGCAAACAAAAACAAAAAATAGAGTCAAATGACATGAAAAGTGGCAAGTCTTCCGATAATAAATAATAAATTACTTTATAATTTTTGCAATGCAAGAGCAAACCAAAAAAAAATTCTTTTTTCCTCTTTATTTCCAGAGAGAGAGAGAGAAACAGTCGTTTTAACCCATAACTATACACATCTTTGGGGGGAAAAGTTCTTGGACGGACACGATTCAAACACAATCCCGAGACGCTTTGTGGCAAAGTAGAGGTATACCTTGTTGCAATGCTTTATAAGTCGGTTTTTAAATAGGAATTCAAAAACCTATTTTTAAAGTCGGTTCAGACTTCTCGATAGAGGATGGATCTCAGCAAAACCAAATCCAAAACCCCAGCTACAGTACATGCTATAAGAGACCCAGGAAACAACCCCTTAAGAGTCAACTAAAAAAAAACATTGCAAACCAATGCAGCTCCTGCTTCCTGCAATGAATCTTTCAACCATGCGGGGCTAGATTGTCTTTTCCTGATGTTGTGAAACCTATTGGAGCTCCTTTTTGGCAAGGCAATGACCAATAAGAAACAGCACCATTCGGATTAGGATGGAGTACAGACAGTCTCTCTATCTCGGTTTCTTTCTATGTTCAGTCAAATGAAAAGATGCTTCTTTTTTTCTGAGATCCATGAATACAAATCCTCTACGTTTTAAAAACGTCTTTTCGATGCTCCTGTGATCACTGGATATCATGTATTTATTTACTCTTTTAAATTATTATTATTCTAGTAAGATCCCATGATTGTCTTCACAGTGTTGCTACCATTTCACCTTGTCATTTATAACAAGACTCCGTGCATTTCTGGAGCGTTCTTTGCTAGGTTCATTACAGGTTTATTAAATACTTTTAAGTTTCAGAGTCCCAACGTGATAACTTTCCCGCTCTCTTCAACAGGGGGAAATAATAATAAAAAAATCTGAATGAATTGTTCCTCATGCCTCAATAGGACTGGCTACCATGCTGTTAGGTGTATCTGGGAGCTGAGAGGACATTGATGCTACTTCACTTCCGGTGGAATTGGAACCTGGTCCTCCTTCTGAAAAATTAACCTGCCCAAAAGAAAATAAGGGGAGGGGAGGGGAGGTTACAAATGTAGTTATAGTTATCAATTAAAGGCAGGAGGAGAAGAAAAAGAAATGCAAATACATAAGCAACATGCACTACAAAGGGCATCATCCAAATCCCAATGAAATCAATGGGAGTTTTTCCATTGACTTTAATGACTTTTGAATCAGTCCCTAAATCAATTCACTGAACAAAATAGATTTCTAAAACCAAAATGGGTGGGGGGGGGGAACGATGACAAAAAACTGTTATTAATTAGACCTGTTTTCTCAGGTTTTTCAGAGATCTTTGTATTCTAATTGTTTGGGAATTCCCAACAGTATGTTGCAGTCAATTATTTAATAACCTTGTGTTTTCTGACATGAAACTGCAAGGCTACTTCCCACTCCTCTTTGTGGTGCATAATACAATAAAAACTGGCACAAGGCTCTATGAGCATAATGTGTTTTCTTTTCAACAAGCCATCTTCTTCCCCAAGGGTGATGGGGACTCCATGGGTCCATATTAAATGAGAGTGAATTGGGTAAAAAGGGTAACCAAAACCACTGTGAGTTGAAGATCAGATCTTAGTCTAACAGTGTCCATAATATGGAGAGTTTAGCATTTCTAATACATCCACAATTCAGTTTGCTCCTTCTTGGTTAGAAGATTCTGTGATTAAGGCCCTGCCTACATAGCAGAAATTTGCACCAGCCACTTGAACAGCCACTACACTGTGTCCATGCTACAAAATGCTCCTGGGGCATCTATTTTTCAATCTATATGCTCTATTTTTGGTCAAGCTGTCATAAAAAATATAGGGCAAATTTTGCCTCCTGGTTACATCCCAAAATATTGAATTCTGTTGCTAGACCTAGTACCCACCAAAGGCCAGTCTATCCCAGGGCTTAAAGATCTTCTGTTCCATTAACCCATAATAAGTAAAGCAGACAAAGCTGGTCAGTGTTTTGTTTTGTTTTGTTGTTGTTTCTTTTCCCCCCTGCCTACCGGACGGCTTGGTTTAAGCAGGGGGACTAGAAGATGCTCTAGAACCAAGATGATCTGTATCATAGCATCCACAGAACAGGCTGCTAAATTACAGGGCATTCCAAATGGACATAGCATTCCAAATGGAACAAATTCATTCTTCAGCATCAGAATAAGAGGAAAAACATCATAAAAATTAGTGGGTCACTAAAGGGAAAGGTCTAGAAATATACATTGGTGCCGCAAACCTTTATTTTTATTTTCCAAGGGATCATTTTGAAAAATTGCTTGACCAATCAAAAACCTCTATGGTAATATTTCATTATTATTTGTTATCACTGTGAATCACTGAAAAACCATACACAACGTACCTTATTATTTTAAAGATCTGGTTTAAACACACTTAGGCCAGGAAATTGAGTTAAGGTTGAACTTCTGTCCTTAATTCACCTTGTTGAGCCTAAGTATTGCAGATGATATGGTCCCATATGAGCTGCCAAATGACGTAGGCATAAGGAAGTGAGTTAAGAACAGAATTTATTCTTAAATTTCTGTTTTCTTGTTGGTTAAGCCAGTCCATTAATATTGTTTGGCTTTTGCATGTGACTATGTAATAACAATTCCCTTTATAAAATATAAGATATAATTTCAGATGGGGTAGATATAAATATCTGCCTAGTGGTACATACTTAAAGAAAGATTTACACTTTCCCACCCTCCCTGTTTTAAGAATCTCATGGGTCTGGCTGACATTATATTCATATAGTTGAACTCAATTCTGTACTACATAGGCAAAATGAAAAATGTGGACCCAATGTTAGTAATTGCTGTTGTAAGTTTACAAAGAGTAAAATGATGAATTGCTTATAGTTTTTAATGCTAGTCTCCTCCATAGATTTGCTTTAAAATTTTATGACTATAATTATCTTAATTACTCTTTCAGACCTTGTTTATGGGCCTGATCCAAAGCCCATTAAAATCAATAGGAGCCTTTTTACTGACTTCAAGTGGGCTTTGGATGGAGCCATATAAAATCCATTTTATTCTACATACTCACATATTGCAATAATGCAAATATCAGGAATGCATTTATAGTCTCGGGTTCATATCTCGCAGCACATATACACCAAGTTTAGAGAATACCCAATATTCTGCCCCGTGTATACATTAGCATATTCAGTCTGGGAACTAACACTTACTAGCTGCTGAAAAGCAGGTTGATCTATGTCACTCTGCAATGCGAAGTCACTCAGTACTTTCCAAGGAGGCTGGTAACTCTGCACTTCCACTGGGTTAGCCTGTAAACCCCCATCATGTCTCTCAGGACTAGCAGCCACCATAGGAGTTCCTGTCATTCCTTGAATATTCTGTAAACAACCGACCAAAAGATGTTAATGAGCTTTGTTAACTTTATTGTATATAAGCGCTGAGTCAATAAACTGCTATTCTATCTTATCTATACAGTCGCCTTTATTTACATAGTTAATCTGCTGTGAATGTCCTACCCTAGTCTACTATAGGTCAGCCTATTTCTGCATTTATCACACTGGAAGCTTACTTTCTTTCTCCTTAATCCTTGTATTTCTTCATGCCCGGTTGCCTAAAAGGTTATTAACTACTTACACCAAATACCACTGCCTGGCGATACAAGCATGGCAAGGAACAAGAAACGGTTAACAACCCTGGGTTTATATTTTGCATCCATGCTGGCTTTCTGTGTGACCTTAACTGGGTGTATAACCTCTACGCTACCAACCTCGGGTGCCTGAGTAGCTTTAGAAAACCTTTGTGTATTCTAAATGCTACGGCTGTTATGTACAAAACGACTCGGAGCCTTGAGGAACAGTGTGCTGATAACATTGTGTTTTATTGCATTCTAACACGGTAAAATGAATCTCCTCAAATCCCACTTAACTAGGCAGCCTTATGAATTCATAGTCTTTTTCAGGTCAGTCAATATACTGAATATAGAGGGAATAAGTAGCTGCTTGTGTCTTTCACCAACAGAAGTTGGTCCAATAAAAGATATTACCTCACCCACCTTGTCGCTTCTTGAAAGGCTCAAACGGGGAGAGGGGGGGAAAGGTTGCAAAATGGAGCAAGGCAACTTGTTTTGCTAAATCCTGCAATTTAAACGCGAGACAGCTTGTTTGCATCAGGTGTGCATATGCACACGTAAATAACTATATATAATGTTGAAAATACTCTGACTAGGATGACAAATCAAAATCTTTCCTTTGCATTTGTCTTTTCCTACATTGGGTGCAGTTGCTCACCTATACCAATATGCACGTTATAATATAGAAAGTGCTAAGAAAATGCATCAGATTTGTGTTTTTGACTCCCCCATTGAAGAGGGGAAATGCGTCTTTTTCCGTTAAGGAGTCCATTGCATTTGCAAAATAAATATTACACAATGCTCGGCTTAATTACATCCCCTAAACTCTTCGGGTGTCAATTCACATTTACTATAATGCACACTGAATCCTTAGCCCCACCAAAAGGCGTGTCCGCTTCAGCAGGCGGTGTAATCCTCTCGCTATGGTCTATTTTAATTGCATTGACAACAGAATACGTGAGTAATATTTACAGTAATCTGCAGGCAAACCAACTTATAGCACATCTGTACTTTTTAAAAATGGAGCTCTCACATAATCAGCGGCATTTATCTGCCCAGACAAAACCAAACCCCAGAGAAGGCTGGTCAGAGGTGGCCTCGGTACAATTTCAAGATCAAAGGATCATTTCCACTTCAGGAAGGAACGTTCCATTAGGATCACAGGCTGCAGCCACTTACAGTTTTGTCATTGGGCTGCTGTTGCTGAAGCTGCTTCATCATGATGCTCCTTTTTTTGTCCTTGCATCGCTTGTTTTGAAACCAGACCCTGATGACCCTCGGGCTGAGGCCAGTCATTTCCACCAGTTGCTCCTTCATAAGCGCGTCGGGTCTGGGGTTGGCGGCGTAGCAGGTCCTCAAGGTGTGAAGCTGTTTCTCATTAAGCACAGTCCGGACTCGGGTGGTCTTCTCGGGCTGCTTGTGGACGTGGGGTCGAAGAGCGGGCTGTCTGGCAGAGATAGGTTCTGCTGCAAGGGAAGGGGGGAGGAACGAACACGATCCCCATAAATAAGAGGCAGAGAATCTATAGAGAGTCAGAGTTTTGTGGGGTAGATCCTTACTGAAAAGGCCATTAAGGCATTCAGCTGAGTTCTTGTCCTTATCTCTCCCCTACCAGCGGATGGAATCACACCACAATTGGCATTTTTTACTGTACAGACAAATAATGGGTGTAGGGGGACAACAAACAAACAAACTGAAGATCAATCCTGTATTATCTTTGACAGACCAGGAATATTCTACTTCATAATAGGCAAGGGGTGGGAGGGAGGACGTATTTATTTATGGAGACACCACAAAAGTAGATAGTTAGCTTAAAAGTTTTAAACGGGAGCACTTTGCATAATTTGTGTGCCTGCCTGTTGTATGTAGACTCTATCACAACACGGCCTGAGACCTTGAGCACAGTTACATGCACAGGCTACCAACAGTTTTACACTACTGCTCCAAAACAAAGGAAACGTATCCATTGTAGAAAACCTTGTATGTGAAAGGCACATTCCGAGAGCCCAAGAGAAGGGGCTGTTTGGGAAAGTGGAGGTTCAAGGTGAAGTTATGTCACTTAAAAATCTAAGGTATTGCAAAATCATAAAAGGGGAAGGGAAAGCATGGCGATTGGTTATTTTCATCGAAACCGTCGGGAAATGCAACCAAATGGACATTGTCATATCGAAAGTTAGAAATACATCGTTTTTCTGATAGTGCATAGAATCTTTTTTTTTCTTCAGAAATTAAATTGACTAGAATACCCTAAATGTCACTTGGCCAAAAATAAAGGGTAAACATTACTAAAAGCTTGGCCAAGCAGTGTTCAATTTTGTCCTGTAACACCGGGTTTCTATTTCTCCGTGGGCACAGCAAAACAGCAAAGACATTCGATGAAGACCGAACAAGATCCCCCAATACTGGTAATTTTGTAACTGGAGACACAATATTCCTTATAAGACATGCACAAATATGCTTGAAGGAATATGCATAATCTGTCCGAAATTCTGGAATGATTAGCTATCTGTTTCTCTGCTATATATACATAGGTCACTTGAAAACTGTTCAGAAGAGGCATCTGTGCCCGTAGAAACATGGCTGGGTTTGTAAATATCCCTTAGCGTTAGTTACCTGAACAGCAGTTCTCCATTCCAATCTTGTGGTGTTTATTTGTCTGTGAAAGATGTTCCCCTTCCTAAAGCTAAGTTTCTATAAATATCTAATGCACAGGTCGAAAACTAAAAGTGTAAGTAAACCTGTATGTTGGTCGAGTCTAAAGTTGCAACGCGGAGTTTAAGATGAAATTCTCATCAAATCACATAAAACGTTTCAAGAAGGCAGAATCACTTTAAAAGGCAATTAGTGAAGATTAGCTTGTTGACAGTTTTAAATTACAGCCTAAGTGCTCGCCTGTAGTTATTAAGTCTATCCCTTTTCGGACCCCTTTTCTACCAATGTTTTAAAACAACCTGTTCCAAATGTGATTTTGGGGAGGGGAGGGGCGGGGGATGGAAAGGTATTTGTGATTTAATACTGAAGTGTTATATACACATTCGATTATCTATCTATCTATCTATCTAACCAACCACTTTCAAAAGAGGAAATTTATGCCCCAAAGGGTCCACTAGTTCTCCCAGGGCTCTCATTAGACAAATGCACATACAACACCTTAGGTATGTACTTCCAGTGAACCACTAGATTTCAAAAATTTTAATACTGGCTTATATGTGTGTGTATACAAGTATTTATATAAACCCGATATATATACAGGTATATATATATCGGGTTTATATAAATCTATATCTATCTATATATATATCGGGTTTATATAAATCTATATACACCTATAATGTATTAGTGTGTTTATATAAATACATACACACATATAATGTTTTAGAGATAGATATAAAACGATATGCCTTCGGATATATACATGTGTGTACATAGATATAGACAGGTGTGTGTATACCTGTTCTATTGTCATATGTGCCGTTATATTGTCACCTATATGTGCATATATGGATAATGATATTATGTGTGTGGTTCTAGCATTTATATTTCTATAGGAAGGCTCATCCATATGGAGAGAAATCTACAGCTGTGCCTGGCTCTACACAGCACACACGTGTTCTATAGAACACGCCAGACGCATGCATACACATATATGTCTACAGGGCTGTAGGGTACACACACACAGAGGCAGAGGAATGAAGGAAGGGCTGGAACAAAGCCCTGGTCGCTTTCGCTGCAGAGCCGATAGATGCACAGAGTGGCTGTGGCCTGCAGTCGCAGCAGCTCTCTCTCTCTCTTTCTCTCTCTGTGGACTGGAGGAGTACCTGCCATCTGCAGCGGTCTGGCGGGATGAAGGGGGCTGAGCGGGTCCCCTGCTCCCAGGCTGGCCCTCTCCACCACGTCGTGGTCGGCTCGGCAGAAGAGGCCGTCCTCCCGCAGCGCGAACTCGTCCCCTGGGATGAGCTGGCGGCTGCAGGCCACGCAGCGGAAACACTCGATGTGATACACCTTGGAGCGGGCTCGCATCACGAAGTCGTTCTTGCTGAAGCCGATGCTGCACTTGGCGCACTTGATGCCGTATAACCTGAGCAGGGCCCGGCCCAGAGACAAGAAGGAGAAAAGAGGTTTCACCCCCAGTCGTGTGCAGCCCCCCGGCCCTGCTCCACTCGCCACACGCCGCCCGCTAGTTAAACAAGCCTTTACAGCACAGAAGCTAGAAGGGGAAAGGAATAAAACGGATTCAGTTACCGCCAATGCCCAGATCTCGCCGCTGTAAAAGGCAGCAGAGCTCAGACGACCCCCCCCCCCCCCCCAAGCCCCCCCAAAACCAAAACCCCCAGGGGGGATTTCCCAAACCCCCCTCCCTCCCCCACGCCCGGAGCCGCCAAGCAAGGGGGGGGGGGGGGGGGGGGCACCGGGCGCTCTCACACTGGGCTCAGGGCACGTTGGCTGCCCCCACGCTGCTCCAGAGCTGTAGCAACCCGCTTGTGTATAATATGTAAAATAAAGGCTGGCTCCGATGACAGAGAGTGACACTCATTGCACAAACACAAACCTATTAGCCTCCCCTTTTTTTTTGAATGAAACCTTCAGGAGTTTTGCCGCCTCCTGCACACTAGAGTTTCCAGTAGCTAGAGTTTTACTTTTCCCTTCTCAGGACACCGAAGGAGGAACTTTTCTAGGCACTACAGGTCTCAAGATTCTTTCTACCTTCCGCCTTCTTTCTGTCGCGTAACTTTTCTATTAAAGTGCGTTTTAAATGCTGCGGCGTTCCAGCCTTTCTCCTAATTCAATCTTTCCACTCTCCCCACCAGTACCACCTTAAGCTGAACGCTAAGCCTTCAAACACAAACGAAAGGAAAACTGCCTTACAGAGCAAATAATTCGCCTCTTTGTTTTATACATCTTTAATAGCTACTGTGTTGTAGCTTGAGTCCTCTTCGATACGGAAAGAGGGGGGACATTCCAGGTAGCAATATCTATCTACATAGACAGAGATATCTTTCTATTAGCTGTAGTTCTGAGTCATATTTCACAGCTCCTCGGTGTATCGGCTTAAACTGAATATTATTTAGCTAACCTCTTTGATTAACAAGGCAAGTTAGTATAATTCTAAAAATATATGCACACATACGTATATACGTATTCACACACTCCTAAATAGTTTACAATATGTATATATACATAAACTCTTCCAAATACCCTCTATAATGCACACAATCTCTGTGTTGTGTGTATGCCTAGAGACACACACACATATTTACACCTTATTTGTGTGTGCATGTATAGCAGAGTGTGTGTCACACACAATGTATTCAATTTCTACTCAGATCTAAAACTTCTGAATTATAAGATGTCATGAAAAATAACGAAAGAACTGCTCGATCTCCAAATATTATAGCTTAATAGGTACAGGAGTTATTTTTTGCGCATATGCTTGACAATTTTATATTTGCTCAGAGTCTAATTCAAGGTCGCCTAGCACAAATTGTACACTTTTTATTTTAAATAATTTGAACAAATGAAATTTCTTTTGCAGAAACTTTTCAAAGTTGCAATTATTTGCTCATTTCCCCTACTCAATGAAATTCAAACAGGAACGAAAAGACCAGATCACACTCCCAAACATTTTCTCTCGTTTGAAACTGGGAAAGAGTCAAAGAAGAATGTTAAAAAATAAATAAAATAAAATAAGATAAAAACACTGCTCCCAGATACGTTTAAAAGTAAAGCTAAGAACGGAGTGGATTGTTCTCAACATTGCAAAACTTTGAGGATAATTTCACAACGTGGCTTTACGGAACCAACTATTTCTGATATGTGCATTGGAGGAACTCAAGTGGTTTATTCTAATTCGGAATTAAAACGAATCTACAAAGGTATCTTAAATGGGTGATATTTATTCCTGAAACTTCCTGTAACAATGTTTTGGCCATACAGCATAGGTAATATACAAAGTTCTGCTATACACAAACCTAGCAGATGACACCAAAGGCTAGCAATAGATAAACATGACCCAAGAGCGCAAATAATAAATACCCCCAAAGTTCTGCTTTGGTTTCGCTATAGTGTTAGGATTGGCAACTCTCACATTTTATCAGTTACCAGATTTTAATGTGAGGAAGGAAGCAGTTCCATTATCTAAATATACCCAATTGTTCGCGAACAGATGATGGGCAATTTGATCTGCTCTGTCTAATTCATCAGCACAGATAAGATAAGAAAGAAAAGGTAGTCAGATATCACCAACGGGTTAATATTTAAAAAGATTACTTGCCAGTTATTTTAGCAAAGAAACATTGTAGTCTATCTTTTAACCTTACAATAAAAGGATCTTCCTTCAGAACTGAATTGTAAACTTCACCTTATTTTTTTTAAATAGGCCCTGCTGTAAATTGGTTTATTTGTCCGTTCATTTTTTTTTACTGCATACATGTTTGAAGTGTCTTCATTCTGTATATGATTTTGCCTTCCTGTAACTCATACAACAAACACACAGAGATGCAGGTATGTGTTTAAAAGCGATCAGCTCTGTGCCTGAATAGCTATACTATTTAAATATATATTTAGATGCTATCCTGCTTTGTTAGGACCACAGCACACATTGCAGGAAATTGTGCTTTACCAGGAGAAGTCCTTACAAACTCTAGCTATTCCTGACTTTGAGTGTTTTATATTTTTCATTTTAATTTATGGAATAAACTTGACTAGAACTTTTCCCCTTGTACCTTTGGAGAACTAACTTTTTTTTTTACCAAAAAACAAAACAAAACAAAAAAGCACTCTCCCTCTGTCTGTCTCTATATACAGTAAAATCTAACCAAATAAACAGCGTAAATGGCGTACCTGATATAATCTCTTTTACAGTAGGTTTTGCCATCCCTAACAAAGCACGTACAGGTCTCGTCCAAATACTGATTACACTCTGCACACTTCAAACACGCCGCATGCCATTCCAAATCCGGAGAAACCCTCAGAATATACTGATCGTGAATTTGATTGCCGCAACCAACACATAGGGAAATCAGACGTTTTTCTGAAATGAAAATAAATACATGATTGACTAACCGTTTACTCTCCTACAGAGATAAACACACTTTTAGTGTCGATCCCTTATAGGGCATACTCTGTGAGGTTTAGATTTTTTTAAAAAGAGCATTGCACTTTTGGATGGTAATTGAAGTGTGCCATCAAAACCTTGCCTCATTTAGAAAGGAGGCGGGGAACGTATGTTAAAATGCAGATGTGAACAGCTTTCGGTGTGAAGCTTCTAATTTTGCAAGCCTCGCACACAACCCAAACTCCCTCGTTTTGCATTTTTCTTCGCTCCAGGGGAAATCGTTTTATATATATATTAAAAAGGGTTTGGCTGGAAGCGTTGGGAACTGAACGCGTGGATGTTTAAACCCCTCTCCGTATAACACAGGGCTCGATATTGTGAGCAAGCTTAGACAGCATTACAGTTGTCACTTGCTCTCCTTCGCACGCCTAATGCTAATTCGCCTAAATGGGCTAGGTGCTGTCTATTCAGGCAGACCCACTGGAGTCCAACGCGAAGATAGCTACATCTCCAGGGCAGAGGTACCATTAAAATCCTGCCTGCGCCCCAAACTTTAAAGGCACCCAGGACCCAAGGCTATGGAAATAGAAGGATAAGAGGTTAAAACACAGCAAGCATGCAGGCATGGCAACAAAGGCACCTTCTCTCCCATTCCTGTGAAGTTCAGATGAGCAGCTCATAGCAGCTCCCTGCCTGACACGGTTACAACAGACAGCACATTGATTCCAACAACGGTAAAAAAAAAAAATCCTCCTTACTTTTTGGTGGGTCTCCCATGTCTCCCATATCTGTAAGAGGGGGTATTGTCCACAGTGGAATGGTGGTGTGCGCTTTCGTTTTAAGACCCCAAAGTAGGTTTTAAAGCGGTTGCTAAAAAGAAAAGCAGAGCGTGCGCTATGGGCAGCAGCCGGGCTGCAGGGGCGCTGCTGGCCGGGCGGCACTGCCCTCTCTCGCGCTGCCGGGCAGTCCAGTTTTGCCCGTGTGCTGGGACTGGAAGAGGCGCTGCGGAGCCGGACTCAGCGCTGATCGGGCACTAGTCTCTTCCTTATCTCTTACTCAAACTTCTCTGCTCCAACTCGGCTAGATCTCCATTGGCCTGACGTAACGCGCGGGGACGTCAAGCCTGTCCCGCGCCGATTGGTGGAAGGGAGCGCAGAGCAGCTGTTCTGATTATCATATTTCAGTCGCTGTAGCCTTGCAACGCTGCTGCAGCGGCTCGGGGGTAACTTTCCCACTCCTCATTTGTGTTCCCCTTTAGACTTTATTCTTGCCACTCGTCTTCGGGTCTCCTTCCGAGCGCCCCTGGCACCCTTCACTTTACAGTATTGTCTCTGTTCCATTTCTTGCTGCTCTTGTCAGATCCCCCTCCCCACTGAACTTTTTTTTTGGGGGGGGGAGGAGAGATTCTGGCTATTTACATTTCGCTATTTAAAATTCCATATTTTGGGGGGTGGCTCCAGCTATTTCCTTCCTTGGTATCTGTCTTTGCCAGGCAGCAGAATTTGCCCCAGTTAGATGAGAGGCTCACCTACTTTTGTCATGGGATAAAAATAAATACTCGCTGTATTAAGTCACAGATACAAGGTTTAATTGTTTGTCTTTCCCATTCTCCTTTTTTCCCTTGAAACTGTGAATAGTGCTTTATGGATTTCTGCTAAACACGAGATCGAAAAAGATGATACAAATATTTACCTTAAATTGCCCCTCAAAATCTCTCCTTTCTATGTTTTCCCCCTTTTCAAACCCTTTCTACGTCTTCTTTAGTTTAAGCCGAAGTTTAGGTCTACCCACTTTCATCGGTTCGACAATAATTTATCCCCCCCCCCACACACACACACGTAATTCTACCCTCTTTTTACTATGTTTTGTCTGGATTTACAGCAGTGCAAATGCTGGAGGTAATATAAGTCTTTAAATGTACCTCTTCTTTGAGAAATGTGGAGACTTTCATTAAGTTACTCAAGGGAACTAAAATATAAGAAATATTGTGTAGCTGGTCCCCAATAATATTGTTTGTGATTTTTCAGTTATGCACATCGGTACACAGGCACTCCTAAAACTAAAGTCCTTGTAACTTTAGGGCCATGAAACCTTCCACAACCAATGTCAGTGACCCCTTAAAGGGCTGCTGGCTTAATAATTTGACTCTCAATTATTTAAAGCTTTCAAATCTAGTAACACACATGCATATTTTTAAAGTTTAAGGCACTCATTTCTTTATATCTTTGCAAAATTCAGGCTTTGATCATACTATGACCTGAACCTCTCTTAGTTGTTAAATATGTGAAGCTGGATCCTCCTCATACCGTTATAACTCCACTATGCAAAATGAAACAATACCTTACATAATTCTTTTAGGGTTTGTTTGGAACCCGCTTCTGTCTTGTTCTATATGGGTTCTTATACCGCCGTCATCACCTTATTATCTAAGCGCCTTCCAGCTGGAGGCTTCTAAACAATGTTTATCAGCAAAATGTGTTTTTTTTTTCCAGCGTCCCTTTCTTTTAAAGGAAACTGACACGGCAAGAGTTTGGATAAAAGAAAAAACAGTCCAACTAGACTATTTATACACACATGGAAATTGTGTTGCGATGGCATGGCCAAAAAGTTATTAAATTTAAATTTGATGATTATTATGCTACTGCTAAGCAAACGATCTCGTAGGAATCCTAGCTCAGTCTGAAAGATGTTTTCATTTGCAATGTGGAGGGTGTATATAAATTTAATAAAAGGGGAATCGAAGGTTCCTGTAAAGATACTAAGATGACCGTCTTGATAGGAGTTCAAGATGTCAGAAGGCAAAGATGTTGTAAATACACACACCTTACATATTTAACATTTAAATGAACAGTTGAAGTTGTAACTAGGTGACCATTTAATTCTTCTTGAAACCGGCAAGGTTTTATTTATTTATTTACTTATTTCATCACCCCCGCCCCACATTGCGGTGTTTTCTCTCTGTAACCCAATAAGCAATGACCAAGAATTATTGCTGATGATAGCAATTCCAAACAAACAAGCTGGCATGTGGATGGGGCAAACTTTTAATAATGGGCAATTTCACATGAATACACTTAAACACTTATATTGTGCACAACTCATACACATATTGCAAGCAAATATCATCCACTATGAGATCTGGTAGGAGACATTCCATAACTGAATATTAAATATATACGTCAAACCTATAGTCAGTTCAGGGTGGGGAGAGTCATCCTCACTGCGGAATATTTGTGAGAGTTTTGTCTGGGACACTCTTGGGGAGATATCAGGCCATTGCACAGTCACTGTAAAATAAAAAAGTGTAGCATGGAAATATCGCAATAAAAATACTAACACGATCATTTGATAACCTTTACGCTCACATTTTGTCTTATCACTGATTTATTTTCCTTTTTAGACCCCTCTCTTTCTCCATCCTTATACCGTTTCTACCATTACCCATGAACAAACCAACCAACCAAACGAACCAAGAAAACCCACTCACACACTTTAAAAATGTGGCAGTTGCAGATTAAATCTAGCAGTGATTAGCCGTTTAGACAATATTTTTAATACACGATCGCAGCAGCGACCTCTTGTGTTCAAAAGAGGCATTATCCCTCTAATGTCACAACCACAGGCACATTTTTTGACCTTTTGTGAATTTCTACGTCGGGTCAAAAATAATTCCTTATTGAACGTGGCATACTAATGAACCTCCTCCGGGAGCAAATGAATGGAAGACCTTGGTGGACCACACATACAAAAACATGTGTAACTTTAAAAATGTGCCCGATCTTAATTATAAACATCGAGGGGGTTTACAAGTGACTTTAATATAGAGGGGTCTTTTCTGTGCCGGGCCCATGTGTTCTTTTCCCAGAGATGGTCTGTATTCTTCTCCATTTGCCTAAACACGAGGAGGATTACAATCAGGAGTCCATTTCTGAAAGACTGCCTCTGTTTTCCAGCGGAACACCATTGTTTGTTTGAAAATAACCCAATCTGGTTTTAATTCTATTCCCCCCCCCCCTTTTTTTTTTTTTGTTAAATACTTCTGGCGGAGGTGATTGAATTTTAAGCTTGATCTTTGTAAACGTGCGGTAAGCGAGAAACCTGTCTCCGCCCAACAAACCAGGATTGGGAAGGAAAGGAGGGATTTGAGGCTTTGATCAAGCTTCCCTCTGCTCCCCCCCCCCCCCCCTGATTTGCTTACTGTGTATTCGATTCGCGTTCCTGTGAAGGCAAAGCTCTATATTTAGCCAGCATCAGAATCGGGTTTAAGGGAGTGGAATAATGAGTGGAACTGCCAGTTTCAATGAGTAAGGTATTTAGAGGAAAAAGACTGCCGCAGGATCTCTTTTATGATATCAATAGACACGTGATTGGGAAGACATAAAACGGGATTTGTACGTATTTTAGACACTTCCGAAAATCTGTTATTTCTATTTGTTCCTTGTACTTTTCTTTCCTTATTTATTTACCTTTTTTTTGGAGGGGGGGGAGAGGGGTCGTCTTCTGACAAGTGTATGGCAATACAAGCAATCAATAGCTTTCACCACGGTCAGGGACTCCGTTGAGATTATGTGCATTTAAAAGAAGCAGCGATTAACCCTTTACATTCCATAAAGAATATTTCTCTATTTATACATACAAAGGCACAGGTATGTATTTTGATAGCGGTAAAACTGCAGAAGATTCATCCACTGAACTAAATAATTACAGCACTGTCTCGGAAGACAAAATCACTGTTTTATTTAAAAATATATATCTCCACGAATGTAAGGGCAGCCAGTCATTTTGATTTTAGTAAAGGGATGCGGTAATTTAGTTCACAACTGGACTTTGAGCATGAACTTGAATTGTGCAGACACTGCTTTGCATCCTTGTTATATTTTTAATGAATGAGACTTGCCTTTTAAAATGCTAGACCGATCACCGGATCTAATCTAGTCTTTCGGCGTAAATTTACGAGACTAAAGTTTATATTGACATTCTATGTTATTCAGACAGTAGAGAAAAGTCTCCGCAGACACAACGTTTTATTCTTCGCTATAGATTAGATTCTGGCGGGGTATATTTGTGTTCCACTACAACACTACCGTAAAATACACACGCGGACAGAGTTATTCGACAGTTTATTCAAGCCTTACGAATTGACAGTGTGGACTAAGGTCAGTTTAAAACTTTTCTGTAAAGCTTCGGACCAGACAGACGATTCTAAAATAGAGCGGATTGAATCTATCCAGCGGATTTGGACTCCTGAAGGTTCAAATTTATTTTAATTACATCACGGAATCCGGCATGTGAATCAGGTTTGTGCCAATGAAATATGCTGAGGAAGGGTTTTTGAAATATTGAAATACAAAACAATGCAGCGGAGAAATCAATCATGAAATTTATTAGATTCTCCGGAGAATAGGGCTTGATTCTCCAGAGGGGTGCGATCTTTAATCTTCAAGCCCTGGCTGCTGAATGTTCAGAAGAAATGTACCATATCAGCACTAAATCTATCAAAACACAAGAAAAACTGTCAGTGGCTTTCTGGAAGCTTAGAGACTTCTCGAGTTAATAATACAATACGGTTTATTAAATCGTCCAACCACTTAAAGAAGTAACATCCCTTCCCTACCATATCTGACAGCATTAAATCTATCACTAAACAGGGCAGCTAAAACGTCCCTAGGTTTAATCAAGGCAGAAACGGGAAATCTATAAACAAAAATACATGGAGGAAAGCAACATCTTGCACTGGGGCAAGAAAATTCAGCAAGCCCTCATCCAAAAATGTGCCTTTACAATGAGGAGATTGGTTCAGAAGCGAATGCTTTAAAATTAGATAATCTCATGGAAAGGTTTAAATACAAAGATTTGGTCAGTTAAGTGTTACCTATACTTATTATCCATTGAACGCGATCGAAAAACAGGG